TCCCATTTTTTCCTGAAACCACTGTGTTTTTTTTTCTTAAACACCTCCAGGAATGATGACACCAAAATTCCCCCCCCCAAAAAAAAGCATTTTTCCCAAAACCCTCCAATTTTTCCAAAGAATGCTCAAATCTTTTCCCCCAAACCCACCATTTTTTTCCCCAAACCTCCCATTTTTTCCTGAAACCACTGTGTTTTTTTTACATAAACCCCACCATTTTTTCCTAATAAAACCCTTTTCCTTCCTAAAAATCTCCACTTTTTTTCCCCCAAACCCCCCATTTTTGTTCCAAAACCCCTTTTCCCCCAAAACATGCACATGGAGCCAACTGGGAGTCCCTTGGGTTTGGGGAGGGGGGAGGGCTGGGATCCCCCAGGTGTATTTTGGGGTCTCCCGGATGTATTTTTGCATCCTCCAGGTGTGTTTTGGAGGTATTTTGGAGTTCCTGGGGACTTTTGGGGTCCCCCAGGTGTATTTTGGGGTCCCTCAGCAGAACAAAGTGTTGTCTACGTGGTAGTTCATAACACACTGGGAATGATGCTGGTCCAGGTGCCTCCAGCTGCTGGAGGGTGCAGGGACAGTTGTGTTTGTGGCTCTTGGTCTGCTCATTCCCCGTTTCTGTGTTCCAGGATGAACCTCCCCCTCCTGGACCGCACAATCCCGGATTATTCCAGCTTCAACACTGTGGATGAATGGCTGGATGCCATCAAGATGAGCCAGTACAAGGAGAGCTTTGCCAGTGCTGGCTTCACCACCTTTGATGTAGTATCTCAGATGACTGTAGAGTAAGTGCCCAAAGCACAGGGAAAGTCTCAGCAGTTTAACAGCAATTGTTTGTTACTGAATTAGCTTTATTTTCACGTTTCGTGGTTTTACTTTTGTAGAATTTGTTGCTTTGTGGAGCCACTTTTAGTCTGTTCAGTTTCTGGAGGCTCCAGGCTTTGTGTCCTCTGTCTCTCTGCACTTGCAGAGTTCATCTCCACATCCCCACTGCGAGAATGAACACCCCCCAAGGGTCTCCAGAACCCCAACGTGGAACAAATGGAGAGTTCAGGTGGCATCAGACAGTTCTCCACCCACTCAAGAGCACATTCATACTCTGCAGTCCTCTTGGGTGTGTGGTGTATCAGGGATGGAGACAATGAAGTTCTGCCTAACAAAGGTGTCTGTATGTCCAGACCATGGAATCACAGAGTGGTAAAGGTTGGGAGGGACCGCTGGAGGTCCTCCAGTCCAACCTTCCTGCCAAACAGGACCCCCCAGAGTGCCTTGCTCAGGGTGGTGTCCAGATGGCTTTTGGATATGTCTGGTGGGGGGACACTTCACCCCCTCTCTGTGCAGCCAGTTTGGTGCTTGGTGACTGCACATCAAAGAAGTTCTTCCTCATGTTCAGGTGGAACTTCTTGGTCATCAGTTTCTGCCAGTTGCCTCTTGTGCCATGGCTTGGCACCCTCAGGCAGAGCCTGGTCCAGCCCCTGGCACCTCCCCTCAGATATTTACATTCCTTGATAAGATCCCCTCTTGGAGGGTGGTGACTAGTTTGTTCTGCATTGTCCTGCATCCACTAAAAACATCCTGCAGTGACAAATTCTGAGCAAGCTCTTTGGAGAAAGCAGCTGAAATCCATTTGTGGTGGGTTTGAAATCACTTGGGGCTCTGATGCCTCTGCTGAAAGGTCTGTGGCTGGTTGCACTTTGCTGTAGAAACCCTTAGAAAGGGCCAGGCATTAAAGCCATCTGCAAGTGCTGTGATGTCTTTGAGCCTGGTGACCAGGAATGATTTTGGAGTTGGTGCCTTAATCCAGATTTTAAATCTGCTAATGAGTCAGAATCTGTTCCCACAAACAGCCTTTTCTGGCTTTTTGTTCTTCTTTGCTGCTGGGAAAATCCCATGGCACTTCTGACTGTTTCAGCACATCTGTGGTACAACCCCAAGACCCTGGGGATGATTTTGGCACAATATTTTCTGTGTTCATACAACAGAAAGAGGGTCCACAAAATCTGAAGGGTAAAGAACTTTGACTAAAGAGAGACATCAGACCCACACTACAACCCAACCCTGCCTGGGTTGTGCTATTTTGAGTGTCTAACAGTAAACAGTTCTGCAGGCAGTCGAGCCAATGCAGCCTGTTCTCTCACAGACATCCTCAGTGTCCCTTAAAACCACTTCTCCCAATCCCTCACTACATCCCTCACAATGCCTTCCAAGTGCCTTCACCACAATCACAAGGGCGTCCTCAGCTCATGTCCCACCAGATTTGACAAACCTCCCTTCCACATTCCTCACCTCCTTGGCTGGATGTTTAACAGAGGGAAGGACAGTCCAAGTCCTTTTCCCTTGGCAAATCATGGTGCAACTATTCTTGACACCACCACCTGATGTTTACCTGGTCTTTGCAGAAGTCCATAGTCATGGAAGTGGAGCTGCTGTTTTGTTCAGACTTGGACAGCCAGCAAAGGGTAAATGTTTCCTGAAGACTGATTTGGTTCCCCAAATCCCCACATGGTTTCAACACTGGAAAGGTTTCTTACTGGTTGCCTTCAGGCTGGGACACCTGGGCCACTAAATTATCTGCCAAGAATCCCAGACTGGTTTGGGTTGGAAAGGACCTTAAAGCCCAACTCATCCCACCCCCTGCCATGGGCAGGGACACCTTCCACTGTCCCAGGTTGCTCCAAGCCCTGTCCAACCTGGCCTTGGACACTTCCAGGGATGGGGCAGCCACAGCTTCTCTGGGCAACCTGTGCCAGGGCCTCCCCACCCTCACAGGGAGGAATTCCTTCCCAGTATACAATCAAATATCCAATGTCCAAGGCAGAAAGCTGGGAATCACAGGGCTGTGCAGAGCCACAGTCCTATCCTGGTTTACAGAAATGAGTTAAGAATTTTTTTCACCTTTCCTTGGAGCTCCTCTTTGCTCTTCTTTGCCCATTGGCTTCCACTCGAAACCAGGCAAAGGTTTTGCCACACTTCCCCTTAAAAGTCTGTTCCTAACACTCAAGGAGAAAAGGCACCTGACAATCCCCAGAGTCAGGTGTGGGTCATGTCCATCCATCCCCTGATGGGAAGAACATCTGAAGAATTCATGACTGAGGTTTATCCCCCAGGAGGGAGAATGCAGAGGGGAACAAACACAGCTGGAGCCACAAATGGGACCAGTTTAGAGTCACACTCACCCTCTTGCCATGACCTTTATTTCTCCCAGATGCCCAAAATCTACAAAAAACAGAAGCACTCCAAAAATTAGATTACCATGATTTAACACAGAGCACAAGTACAAAAGTTGATCATTTCATGGTCCTGCCAGATGAAGGGAAAAGCATCAAGAACAGCACATCATCTGCACAGCAGGAGTGAGATCCTGTCCTGAGGGACAGGACACCCTGGTCCTGTGTCTCCAGGGGTGGAAAAAAGGTGTCACAAAATGAAAGAGAATCCAAACAAAATGGCACAAGAGTAGAAAATTCAAGGCAAGTTGACTCAGCAGAGCCCGGGGCGTTTGGTTTCACAGTCTCTGTTGAGGTTCCAGGACTCTGAGGGTGCTGCAGGTGGGTAGAAAATGCAAAGATTGGAGGATAAGCCAGAAAAAGTAAAAGAGTAGAGGTTCCACGGGGTTTGCATCCATTGGTTGCATTCATGGAAGAAATCTGTGGAGACTTCAGCTCCCTTCTCATGGAATCACAGAATTACAGAAGGATTTGGGTTGAAGGGGACCTTAAAGATCATCTGAAATATCATCTGTGATCTTGTCCTGTTGTGAGAAAATATCTTCTGATGTTTGTGTTTGTTTTCTTTTCCTCCCAAAGGGACATTCTGCGAGTTGGGGTCACTTTAGCAGGACACCAGAAGAAAATTCTGAACAGTATCCAGGTGATGAGGGCACAGATGAACCAAATTCAGTCTGTGGAGGTTTGATGGCTGCGTGTCCTCCTCCTCCTCCTCCTCTTCCTCAAGGCCCTGCTCCCCTTCACCCCTGTAATGTCCAAGCTCCAGTTCTTGAGTGTTCTGCATGGACCAGAGACAGGCAGCTGCTCTGAGGATTAGGGCAGCAGGAAGGAACACCCTGTCCTCAAAAAAAGGTCGCCAAGAGCTTCAAGAATTTAAGTAATGGAAAAAGGGAACAAAAGGAAAAAAAAAAAAGACAATTATTTTGAAAAACAAAAACAAAACAACAAACTATGAAATATTTTTAAATAATAATAAAGCAATTGCATTCTTGAAAAGGGCTCCAAGACCAATGGGAGTCTCCAAAGGAAGAGAAAAGAGCAGCTTCATGTTTCCCCTTGCACAAGGCTGCTGCAGCTGGGCCCAGGCACCTCTGGAGAGATGAGACTTTTTCAGGAAGAGGAATGCAAAGGAAGGCCACAGAAGCACATCCTTTCCTCTCCCATGGGCTGTGGCTCTGGGAATGGCGTGCAGCCCTCCCCCAAAAGCCCCTGTGAGCAAATCAGAGGGGGAAGAGCTGAAGCTCTTTGGTGCTGTGGAGTGCATCTCAGAAACTGGTGGACTTCTTCAAAAGCTGAAGACTTTTTTTTTTTTTTTCTAAAAAAAAAAAAAAAAAAACCACCACCCACACAACAAATAAACCAAGACTTAGAGGAGGCTGTTTCCAACAAACGAGAAGGAATCTGTAACGCCTTGGGGTGGGAGGGGGGGGTGGGGATGGGGGAAAAAAAAACCCGGTCCTTTTTTTACATCTCTTATTTTCTCTTGTCATGGAACAGTTTTGTGAGTGACAGTTTCCTAAAGGGTCCGTCCATCCACCGTCCAGTGGCATCGTGTCTCATACATATCATATGCACAAGACTTTTAGTGATGTCTTTTCTAGATGCCAATGATCTTTTCCCCAGAGGACTTCCCAAGTGCAGTATGTAGTAGTTTTTGATTACAAACGCTGACGTGTACCTTTGTTTTCCGGTTGTCATTGCTGGGAGATTTTGTCCATTGTTTTGTTAACACCCAGTTTGTGAGTCTGAGGGTTGGAAATTTTTTCGGTTAGTCGGTTGGGGTTTGGTTGTTTTGGTTTGTTTTTGGGTTTGTTTTTTTTTTGACGAAAAAGAAATTACATCTCCAAGCATCATATCATCCAAGAACTTAAAATCTCTTCCCCGGGGAAGGAAAAATTGCAGCTTATTGACAATGTGCCAGGAGAAAAAGGTTTTTTTTTATATGCACATTCCCTCCTGTTTGAGTATTTGTTCTTTTCCACTGGTCATGGCACGGCAGGTGTTTGTGGCTTTTGGGTTTCCAGTTGTTTGACAAGATGAAAAGGCCACCAGTTCAATTCAGGGGTACTGATGCAGGGCTGAGCCAGCACCAACAGAGGGTTTCGGGGAGGGAGAGAGGGGAGGGTGGCTGGGTTTTGTGACTCTCCATTGTCAGAGCCCTTTGGAAAGGTCTGGCTGCTGGGAAAAGTGTTGGATTTGGTGCCTGCAGCACAGAAAGGTGGGGAAGGCCAGTCCTCCAAGAGGAGCTGGGAGTTTTGGAGTGTGAGTTGTGTGATCTGGTTCTCTGCAGTTCCCAAACTGGGCAGGTGTGCTCTGTGCCATTTGGGGACCGGTACCTTACTTAGAGATGATGCTCTGGGAGCTCTGAGGCAGCTTCAGTCTCAGCCCTTCACCTCGAGGAGAGCCCAGGTCGACAAAGGCAAAAACCTCATCCCAGGTCTCCGGAGGCAAAATGCTGTGGCTGAAGCTGAAGGATCAATCCATGGGTTTATAAACAACTGAAACAAATTCTTTAGTTACTGAACAGGTCTTTGGGATGTTTAAATGGCACCAACCAAGCACAGGGAGTGCAAATGGGAATCAGGTTGTTCTTCCTGTCCAGCACCACATCATATCCTCTGAAACACTCCTGCCACCACCACCTTCCTGTGGCCACATGGGGCATTTTTCCACCCACCCCCTGGCCATGGCCAGCAGAACTGGTGTTTACAGGCCCCTGTCTGCCATTCCTGGGGTCCTCTCCTCGTTTTCAGCAGCTGAAGGCACATTCATTGGGAGCTGCTTGGCTGTATTTTCCAGGAGCTGGATCCAAGAGGAAGTGTGTCTGCTGTGGATGAAAATCCCAAGCTGTCTAGACCTCTGAGGCCAGACATCGTCTCCCTGGACTGCTTGTAAAATATGAGGCCATTTCTAAAATACTTTTAGCATTTTCCACTTCCAGACCAGATCCAACAACAAAGCCCTTGCAAGTGGCATCAGACCACTCCCTACAGGCACGAGTCACTTCTCTACTGAGCTCCTACACTGTCCCAAAGTTTGGTGCTCCAGCAGCAGGGTCTTTAGCTGGATGAATTGTCCCTCCAGCCCCTCCTCATCCAAAAATCTACTCATCCAAAATCCCCAGTGCAGTGCTGTGTTTGTATTTGAACACACATCCCTGGCCTGGCATCAGAGCACACCTGTGGGGAGGTGAACGCCGGGTGTGTGCTGGGCACCCAGGGACATATTCTGAGCTCAGTGTCCCCAGGGCAGCCCCTCTGATGGCATCACTACTGCCCTGCATCGCTTTCGGGTGGCAGAATTTGGGGGGAGTGGGCTCTGGGCATGGTGTGTGCAGGTGGTACCTGGACATGTCACCTGTCTGTCCTGCCTGTGCATCCAAAGGGATGCTGGTGATGCCTTTGTGTCCAAAAAGCACTTGCTCCTAGTCAGGGAATGGACTTTGAAAGAACACAGAAAAATCCCTGGAGCTGATTAAAGCACACAAAGTGCTTGCAGAGGGCACACAGGGAACCAGGAGCTTCTCCCGTGTGGGGAGCAGGGAGGACTCTCCCCTGGTGCCTCTTATCTCACGTGTTTGAACAAGGAGCAGTGGTCAGCCTTTCCCAAAGGCATGTCTGGAGCTGTGTGGTGGCACTCCAGGGTGAGGGAAGGATGGTGCTGTGCCAAGCTGTCCTACCACAGCCAACCAGAGACTTGTGTACCAGAGCTTTGCAAGGAGAGCTGCCTGCCCAGAAAAGCAACCAGCAGATTCCTGTGGGGCAGCCATGTGGAAGGAGCACATGATGCCCTTCAGTTGTCCTCCCCAGACAATTCCTGACTGTTCTCTGCCATCCTGTACATTCCTGCAGACACTAAGGAGGAGCAGCACCCCTTCAGAGCCACTCAGGGCTTGGAAGGGCACTTCAGGTCTTCTTCATTTGGAGACATTTTGTCTTAATGCACTGAATCTCCTCGCTGGCTACTGTCAGACACATCTACCTGCCAGACCCAGCCCACTGTGAAGGACAGGACCCAGCTCAGTGCCACAGCCCCCCAAAGCCGTGGCAGCCGCCTGCAGGACAGAGAAAGCACATCCATGTCTCTTCTTCTGACCAAAAAAATCACATGATGCCGGTTCTAAAAGGAGCACATCCCCGTCTGTTTGTACCAGACATCGCTGTGACATCTGTGTTTGGTTTTGTAGGACTACTGGAGAACTAAAATAGACGTGGTCCAAAAAACACCGCAATTTTCTGCATCCCTCAGCTCTGCTGGGAGCACGAGGAGCTGAGTTCCTGTCAAGTCCTTTGGTTGTGAACGCCCCTGGCACAACTCTGCAGCGCAGGGCACAGGCACTGGAGCGACTTTAACATATTTATTTCATGGGTCTCCGATGCACTGCTACGAAATGGGAGTCTAATGGCAAAATCCAAGTGTGTTCCGAGGGGAAAAGGCACTTGCTGACATTGGCACTGTGAAATCCTGCTGTGCATGTGCATGTGTGCATGTGTGGGGACTGAACAGAAGGGATCAGGCAGCTTGTTGCGATTTTCACGTTTTCCCTCCCCCTTTCAAGCTACCTCCCAGACCTGCCTTTCTCCTCCATTTCCCGCTGCCATCTCCTGCTCAGGTCACCCTGGGGGTGGTGTCTGGTGGGAGAGCTGAGCAGGCTGGAAGTTCTCAGTTGGTTGACCAGTGAGGAGTTCAAACCTTGCAGAACGTCAGGGAGCAGAGCGGAGAAAGCAAAGCACACGTGAAAAGTTAAAATATATTTAGAGGATCATTTCCAGCTGTTGCCTTTTCCCTGCAATTGCAGCACAGTGGCGTGAGGGAGAAGGGAAAAAACAAACCTGTGAGACACAGCAGCGCCACGAGGAACTGTCCTTGTGGTCCTGGGGACACACAAACAGAGCACTGTGAACAGCACATCCCCTCCCCAAATGACCTGCCCTCCCCCCCAGTAAAACCTCAGAGCTGCCTTTCCTAAATGAGTGGACATTTGTGGTTTTCAGCAGCTGAGGAGCTTCTCCTCTCTGTAGTGTCCTCACTATGGAGCAGGAGCTTCCAAAGGCAGCAAATCCAGGTCAGTGTGGCTGGCACAGGGTTTGCCACTACTGCAGTATTCCTTTGGTATTATTATTCCAGTGTGGAGTTCCATCCCACAGCTCTGTGCCAGTCATGGCACAGGGTCCTCTCGTTGGCATCACTGGGCCAGGACATCTCGAGGTCATCAAGAGGAGTGTTTGAAGTAGCTGGGGAGAAAACGGTGCTACAGCCTCTGAGATCTGCCTTGGAACATCTGCCACAAAGAGGTTCTTGGGTCCTGTTTTCCCTTTCCCAACAGCAAGATCCTGCTCTCTTCTCTGGAGCTCTCTCCAGTGCAGTTCCCTCCTGCTCTGGCATGGCATGAGCCAAGGAGGAGGTGCTTCATCAGCATCTCTTCTCATGGTGCTTTTTCCCACTGCCCTGGAAGTTGTTCTTTGAATTTGGGTTAAAGGAAAGGTTCTTTCCCAGGAATCATCACCCAGGCTGCAGGTTAGCAGTGGCCTGTAGAGAAAACCTCTTGGAGGGTGTGAGCAGCTGAGGAAACTTCTTGTTGTATTTTCCAGGCTGATTTATATGAAACCTGGAGTCAGGGCTTGAACTCTGCTGCGTTGTTAACAGTTGTATCTTCTGATGAGGCAATAAATCTGTCGCTGCCTTGGGTGTATGAATAATCCAGAGTGCTGGAAGTATCACTCTGTCTGGTTTGGTTTAGTGGAGTTTATTGTTTTAATGTAAATCACCTTCCTTCCTGCATGTCTGACTCAAAGCTGACTTAATGTAGGTCTTTTTCCATCCTCAAAAATTTTACATGCAAGTTCTTCACATTCAGGATTCAGCTTTTCCTCCCTCAAAATTATATGAACAATTAATGCAGCACTAGCTTCATTTTTCTCTCCTGCTGGCAGTTATCCAGTGCCACTAATGGCATCCTAACAATTGTCTCCTTTGCTGTGTTCCCCTTCTTTTGCACTGCAATCCCCAAGGAACTGGTGTAGGACCAACAGTCCTTTATATCAGTTGACTGAGCCAAATGCCATGTCCTCAGAGTTCCATGGTGGGAGCTCTACCTGTTGCAGTCAACACCCCCCAGTTCTGTCCTGGAGCTCTGGTTTGTGACTTAAGCACTGCTCCCACCTGCTCATGGTGCTGGTTCCACTCTGGTCCCAGTTCTGTGCAATTCTGCCACTGTCCCATGAGCAATTCCCACCAAAAATTCTCTTCCATATTGCTGATTTCTCCTTCTCATTGCTGAGAGCTGCTGGAATCCTCCCACTATGCAGAATATAAGGGTTTGTTTTTTTTTTATCTACAGTCA